TGAAAGAGAGGTGGGCAGATTGGAGTTAAGGTGGATAGTATTCTCTCAAGGACTGAATGTGAGGGATCACTTTAAAAAAAGAAATCCATAGTCATTCCTAGGAGTTCAACTCCACAAAATGAGTAGTTGGGACAATACTTGACACAGAAATTCAGAATTTTGTTTTGACATCATGTTTGCCTTATGATTAGACAGAAAACTGAAAAGAGTAAAAAGACAGTTAGATGTTGGAGTTAGGAGTGTGGAAATGGACTAGTAAAATCATATATGAAGAGCATGGAAACAGGAAGAAAACTAAGTATGTGGATTTTGTCCCGAAATAAAAAATAATAGTTTATTTAATAAGGGAAAAATGATTAATGGAATCTAATATTGTTAAAGGAGCAGTTAAGAGAACAATAGGAGGCTTCCAGACTGCATTTCCACCACTCCCAGCCCAGAAGAAGGGGCTTCTGGGCTGCCATTCCACCACTCCCAGCCCAGAGATATGGGCTTCCAGGTCACCTTTCCACCACTCCCACCAGAGAGGAGGTGAGCTATGTGGGCAACAGCAGCATGCCCACTCATTGAAATGAGAAGACATGTAAACAAGCCTCAAAAACAGACTTCTGGATCACCTACAGCAACCCCAAAGGGAAACGAGATGGAATACTCTAATACTCAACCACCTGGACTCCCTGAACTGGCAACAACAAAGGATCTGGAAAAAATGAAATCAGAAATAATTTCTCAGATAAAAGCATTGATTGCACCCAGAGTGAAAAACATGATAAATAAATCTAGAAAGGACACAGATTAAATATAGAGGAGCTGAGAAACATGATGGAATCCCAACAAGGGAAACAAATAGAATCCATAAAACAGATGCAAACAGATTTCCAGGAGATAAAAAAAGCTCCATTGAAGTCTACAAGCAGAATGAGCCAATGTGAAGACAGAATTTCAGATATAGAAGATAAGATTGCAATTAGTGACCAAGAAAAGAAAAATTGCTTCAAAATTGGAAGGGACCATGAGAAATCAATCCAGCAGCTGCTAGATGATGCAAAGAAGAATAACATACAACTGATTGGTGTCAACGAAGAAACAAGAAAGAGTGGAGATGACATAAAAAATTGTTCACAGAAGTAATGGCAGAAAACTTCCCAAGCAGGGGAAAAGAACTTGACATACAGATAAGTGAGGCATATAGGACTCCAAATAGCCTTCATCAAAAAAAAATCTACACACAGGTATACAATTGCTAAGATTCCAGAAACCCAACAGAAGAGCAAAGTTTGACAAGCAGTTAGAGAAAAGAAACAAATCACATACAAAGGAAAGCCCATGAGAATCACAGTAGACTTCTCAACACAAACCCTCAGGGCAAGAAGAGCTTAGAGTGACCTATTCTGAGCCCTAAAAGAAAGCAGCCTCCAACCCAGATTGATGTACTCTGCAACACTTTCTTTCAAAATTGATAGAGAAATAAGATACTTTCATTATAAAGAGCACCTTAAGAACTTCATGAATACCACACTAGCACTCCAAATGATTTTAGATAATAGCCTAGGAACAGACAATAAGGATCACATCTCCAGGAAGCACAGAAGAATGAATCCATCAGACATGACAAGAAATTAAACTGAAGGGGGAGAATCAAACAGAAAGAAAATTCATGACAATGATAAGTCAATACATATCAGGTATAACCATCAATGTTAATGGTCTCAATTCACCAATCAAAAGAAATAGAATGGCAGAATGGTTCAAGAAGCAAAATCCAACAATATGCTGCATACAAGAAACACATTTAATTCAAAAAGAAACTCAT